GAAAAAAAAAAAAAAGAGAAGTTGTAGTTGTACCCAAGAAAACAAAAAACTTCACCTCACAAAATATTCTTCCTTTGCTTTTGCCGAGATATCAAGACCTGCTCGTGAGCCCATTTTTATCTTTTTGAGCTGAGCTCAAACTCGACTTTTAAACTTGAGTTCGAGCTCCAGACTTAGCCTATAAATCAAGCTCAAATTAAGCATAACTCAACTCCATTACATCCCCAGTCATCGATATGGCTCCATCACAACCACAGTAGAACCTTGACAAGTCCACATAAAATTTGAAAGTGACCCACAAATAATTTTTGTTCCAACGCAATGTACGCAATTTTATTACATTGCTAATGGCTAGAATACTAGCTACTTGCCTACTTGCAACAACCTACTTGCACTTGTTATGTACAATTATGTCTGCTCTGAGTCAAAAGAAGTAAAAATTATTCTGTGTGAAATCCGGACGGAAAGAATCATATTTATAAATATTCAATAAATACGCAATAAATCAACAAATACTTACAACTGCATATTTACAAATACACATTAAATATTCAATAAATACGCCCAAACAATTTTGACTGTCCGAACTCCACACAATAATTTCTCCAAAAGAAGAGTGACTTTTTGCAGATCATATGCTATTTAAAGTTATTTTAATTAGATTAAAGCTTCGTTTGGAATAGCTTTCTTCCTGCTTCTTAAAACAACTTTTTAGTATAAAAATTTTAATTTTTGTGCTAAAAAATCCGCTTTAAGAAGCAATAAAAAAACCGTCTCAAATGAAACCTAAAGCTTATAGTTCGTTGTGGCTTGTATCTATTACATGTTTTATTTACTTCTCTTATGGCTAAATTGTAAGCGAGTTATTCATACTTCCAATCATGCAACACACTTCCAATCATGCAACACAAATAACATACCTTAAATTTATATAAGAATTTTAACCCATTTGACATTACATTATGGTCAAAGCTTCTGACCTAAACATTCTAAACTTACTGACAAAAAAAAAGAGAGGGTATCATTCATTTGACTCAATATAAACTGTTTTTAAATTAATCTTATTCAACATTTCTCTCCAAGCTCTGTATGAAGTGTCTGTCTGATGTATGAGAGAATAGAGATGCAAGGAACTTTGATTTAATATAGAGGTTCAATAGAGCAAATTTAAAATCTTAAAATCACAAGAAAACCATGTTTTGGAGACGAAAATTTCAAAATCTCAGAAATACTGAAAATTTTGACACCTCAAAAACATTTGGAAACAGGAATTCCACACACCACAAGTTTACAACCAATTTAAATGGAATAAAGGTAAATGACAGTATGCAATCGACTCTAGTAACATTCTGATAATAAATCGCCTTGCATTCAGAACGAATAAATCTCCTCAACATACAAGGCGTTTGTTTAGACCATAACTCATTCCAGGTTATTCAGGGCATTCACCTTAATCGAGAGACTCGTCATCATCATCAGGAAGGGGCTGGGCAGCTGCAGCAGCAAGCTCCTGCTCATGCCTGTTAAGTAAACAAAGCTAGCATTTAGTTGAAGAACATACTGAAATAAATTTCTTCGGTTGTACAATTCTACTAAGAGATTTTGATTTTTATAATTGTGCATCCTGTGCTTCTGTAAGAAATAAATGCATCATACTCGCATAGAGAAACTAACAGCTTAAAAAAAAAAAATTTTTTGACATTTGGGGCAATTAAGGTTTTGTTTGGGATGGCTTTCTTACTGCTTCTTAAAGCAACTTTTTAGTATAATTTTTTTAATTTTGAACTAGAAAGCTGCTTTAAGAAATAGTAAGAAAGTCGTTCCAAACGAAACCTTAAACAAACTTGCACACATATCATATATGCAAGCTTCGAACCTAAGACCTCTTAATTGATAGCCAAAGATCTCAACCAACAGACTAAGGTGAGCTGCACAGAGAAGTTCACTTACAAAATTTCTCATCTAATTTAAAATTTCCTTTCAACGGGTTAAATAAGGAAAAAAGGTAGAAATTAATGAAGCATTGATCTTCACTTACAGTTGCTGTTGAGCAAGGTCGATTTGCACTTCTGGAGGAGCAAGAGCAGGGGACTCAACAAAGTGAAGGTTTTGATCCCTGCGTGAACCGTATAAAAATTAAAAGACTAACCTATTGATTAAGAAAAAAAACTCAAAAGCGGTCTTAACATAATTAAAACTACAGGTAATACCCTGCAAGTTTTCTTGCTAGATATAAGAATGGCTTCTCAAAATTGTAATTGCTTTTGGCAGAGATTTCATAGTACTGAAGATTCTTCTTCCTGTGAAATGTGACCATTTTTGCCTTCACCTGCCTGTTCTTAACATCTATCTTGTTTCCACAAAGAACAATAGGAATGTTCTCGCAGACCCTGACAGCAACAAAGGCAAATAAGCAAGATAATATTAACACTTTTATAAACTTATAGGGGAAGCATGGGGTGGTGCTCTATACTGACCTGCAGAGATCTCTGTGCCAAGTTGGAACGTTTTTGTAAGTAAGTCGAGCGGTGACATCAAACATAATGATGGCACACTGTCCATGGATGCTGGCCAGGGAGATGTGAAATCATTAGCGAAAAACAATGATATAAAAGCAAAGGGCAGCGGGCATTATATGGATAGCTAACACTTTTCACTCTTAAAACTTGGACAAGTGATGCAAATTGGATTTAGTTGGGATCGTAGAGAAAAAATTGCTTTCATCTCAGCCATTCAATCTACTTTGCTAGGATTGAATCTATCAACATTAGAATGGCTTGAAAGAAAAATAAATTATTCAATCCCAGATACCCATGGTGGTTTGGGTGGCTGAATAAGGCAACTGCATCCCTATCGTTAACATGACAACAACAGAGCACTCGAATCCCAAGCTTTAATAAAAAAAGTAAATGAATCCAATGGACTGCAGCATAAAATGAAATCAAGTACAGCACCATGGGAAGATGACTTAAAAATCTAATAATTAAAAAAAAAAAAAAGAAAAACATAAAAAGGCCGGGCATTCACTCAAATGCTTACAAAAAATAGCACGGTATGTGAGCCTTCAGGCTTTGTTAATTTAAAGGAATTGGTAGAAAATGTAAATACATTCTAATTAAAAATTTTAGGTTAGTTGTGTGGATCGAATGTAATTCTTAGATAATTGAATTCATCAAAGAAATATGAAAAAAAAGTTTAAATCACACGCATTTGTTTTAATGTAACTGAGCTTGAGCTCGTAGCCAATATATCATGAAATACCATTAAGAAAACACTGAACTACTGAAGTCAACATGTAGGCCAAACAAACCAAAAAGGTAAACTGATTATGAAAAATAAGCCCATCCTCCAAAACAAACAAGTTGGATTAAAATGAAAATCCAAGTACCTCTACAATTAAGATGCCAATTTGAAACCGTGTAAAAACATAAATCCGATAAACTTGTTCAAAGGCACAACTAGCCAAATTGGCAGATTAGCATGGCCAAGAATCCCAAGTTGGGCCCATGATGAGTGCAAAGTTACCCTATATCTATCGAATATGTAATAAATTGTATGGTTAAGGGTTATCAACTAATATATTCACATTCAAATCAATTGTAATATTTTTAATAACTAAATCACAACAATCTAGACCTCAAATGTGTCCAAAATCAATTCATCAAGCCCCAACAGAGTGAACCTCACACGTCATGTGCTCTCTCTCTAATTTTTAAACAAGCAAAGCAGTGCACAGCTGAATGATCTCTGAATGCTACACAGAACATGAAATGTGTGTACTGCAGCTTGCCAAATAAATTTCGATATGGAACAATAGAAACTAGTTCGCAGCTTTAATAAAGGTGGGTTGTTTGCAACCTATATATTTGTCATTAACTTCTGATGATCCGTGCCCTCTTCTCTCTTTGGTGCTCTCTTTGGTGTTGCAAATCCCTTCCAAATTGATCGCTTAAGAACGAGAGTACAAAAAAGTTTTTTAATGTTTCATTTACCCTATTTTTTTGTTGCAGCATCTTATGGTTTCATCTGAAGAATTTAATTTGTTTTTCCTCAAGTGATAACTCCACTCATTTATGCCTCCAATTTGTAGTTCCCTTCATTAATTTATAGGAGAAACATAATGCAAAGTTGATTTTTCAAAAGCATGTATGAGAGGCCCATAAAGAGGCTGTGTCAATCTCAGTATCACTTCTTTTTTTTTTTTTTTGCGAGAATAGAGAGATTATCATGATTTGGAAATGATCTATAATCATGCAACAGTAAATACCTATTTCATAATACACAAGAAGAACACTTCATTATTTTCAATAAATAGAATCACCAAATCACAAACAGATTTCCTCTTATTTAGAAGAAGAAAAAAATCTATCAAAAATTATAAGTTGGTTCTAAGAGAAAGCTTGCCCACACAGCATATGATAGCAGTTGTGAATTTATATCTCAAAAGCAAGATAAAAACAATGAAAAGAAATAATCACCCTAAAATAAGGTAGAGGAATTTGAAAGGTGAGAAATTATATATCTTTCAAGATAAGATGCTAAGAGAGGTAAATTACAGTTTTTAAAGATCTATATAATAACTTGATACTAAGAAAGGAGAAAATAGGATCTATATATATATATATATATATATATATATATATCTAATTATAAAGAAATAAGATTTATGAGTCATGCAATAGCGTTATGGGAGAGTGTGACAAAACATAGGTTACAAAATTGAAATGAAATTTGATGAACTAATTTAGATTCAAGCTAGGAAGATTTGCCATAAATGTTATATTTGTGTTACAACAATTAATAGAGATGCATAGAAAAAAAAAAAAAGATATGCATGTGATTTTTATTGATTTTAAGACTTGCAAGGGCATATAACCGAGTAATATAAGCTATAAAACGAGTGACAAAGATATGTAGTGGTATTAAAGATATGTAATCCAATATTGACAAAATACTACAAGCAGTTGTAGAGTGACTAAATAGTTTTCAATTATTGAAGGTTGATAGCCAAAACTCTACATCTTTTGGCATCAATCATAGATGTTCTTACACAACGGCTATTTAAAGTGGGATGACTTAGTGTATATTTTTGTATATAATATAATTTTAATTAGTGAGACGTTTACTAAAATAAAAGAAAAATTAAATGGAGGAAACATTTAGAAGATAGGCGCCATAAAATTAGTAGAAATGGCTGAGGAGTATATGACATGTAATTTGAATGGGTGTGATGTCAACAATTATTATTCAATAAGATAAAATGATAGCTAGGAGTAATAGTTCTAAGCATCTTACATATATTATACAAAAGAATGAATATATAAATTAGAATATAACTTCTAAACTTAAACTTGTATGGTTAAAATATAAAACATCTTGATAATTTTTTGTAATCAAATAATAACATGGAGGCATGAAGGATAATCATGTCAAATAGTTCAATGAAGCTACGTTGATTTGAACATTGGGTTAAAAGAAAATCATTGAAATTCATATAGGGCATGGTAAAAATGAGAATTTTAATATGGACGTACAATATAATTAGGATGGATATAATAAGGAATGATTATATTAGATGAACGATCAAAGTAACACCTAAAGATAAGATAATTGTAAATAAACTTAGGTGGTTATAATTGTACACTAAATAGTATATTGGTAGAAAATATGCCTGCCAGATGAGTTGATAAAATTAGAGTAAAAATGAATCGACCTAAAAATTAAATGGATAGAAATTCCTCAAAATAATTTGAGAAAAATATATTTGACACCTCAGAATACTCAACAGGAATGGATGAAAAATGACAATTCAAAACACCAATCACAGCTAGAATAAGGCTAATGGTGACTATGAGATGTTGTGATGAATTTTATAAGGCTTTATCACTAAGACCGTAATATTTGATTATCACTAAGACCGTAATATTTGACCACAAATTATATTTTAATTCATTGATTAAAAAAATTTGACCAAACTATGAATTTGATTTCTACTATTTTGGATGCATGGTCATTACAGTTTTGAATTAAGTTACTAGCATAATGGATCTAGTTATTCAAATATGAATATGGAATCAATTATTTTTTGCAATTAAACTTGAATAACAAAATCCATTAATTCAATACCACATTCAAAACTAAAATAACTAGATCCATTATGTTAACAACCACATTCAAAATAGTGTACAAGGTTCATAGTTGAACCAAAAAAATACTCAACAATATTTTTTAGAAACAATAGGACCTTAAGTTAAGTTCCCCTATTTTTACAAAATGGATTCTCTGAGCTATTATTAGTTGTTTCTAGCTGGTTAAATTGCTATACTAAGTCACTAGCAAATTGTTTATGATCTTTTTTGTCATTGATTCTCAGATTTTTTCAACTTTTTGCTAAACCATGTTGGTTCTGTTTCTAAACTTACAAAATTGTTAGCTTATGTTTGAGTGTCAATCGTTAATAGTGTTGAGCCATGTTCCTAAAGATCCAGCAGCACATGCATTTTTGCATTTGATCAACAAAGGTTATCAAGATGGCGTGCATGCCAAAGTCTTGATTTTGTTCAGATTTATTACCTTCTGTTGTTACTTATGACAATCTATATGGCAAACTATATGCAACAAATGCAAACATATTTTCTGAACTATAAATAAGAAGTTAGTTAGTTTTGGAAATTAATCTCTTCATCTTCTTATCATTAGTTTCATAATTTCTAATTTATAAATTGTTATGGAATATTTTCAATTTACTGATTGTTTGATGATAATAATGGTGGCTTATGTGGATGAAACGACCAACATTGGTTCAAATTATTTGTCCCAATTTGTAAACAACATCAAATCTCTTATAGGTTTAACTATCTAAATTGCTTACTATTTCTACAGAAATACAAATAATGTTCTTTATTTTTAGCATTTAGTTTAATATGCCATAAATCATTTGATAATTTAATTAGGCCAGAGAAGTTGATGAGTAAAGGTCTTGTAAGGCTTCACATATTTTAAGATTTAGGGTTGCAATTGATTTAGGGGTTGTATGGTATGTTTCTAAAAAGTATGCATCTTATAAACGGAAAGTAATTAGAATCTAATATATCTTAAATTTATATAGTAGTTTAATTAGAAACAAATCAAATGCAATGAAATATCTTTATATATTTGATAGAATACATGTAAAATAATTGAAAATATATCTTTCTCTCTCGTATTTAGAATGTGGAGGGGATCGGGCAAGACCATTGATGATAGGGGCTCAAGGGAGATTGTCAGTTACAGAGACAAGCTTAGGGGAGACCATTGACAATAGGAGGATCTCAAGGGAGATTGACGGTTATGGGGACAATGATAGGCAAGGGAGGAATTGTAAAGGGGCAAGGGTAAGTGCAACTTAAAGAAGCTTGGGAGAGGTTGAGGTAAGAGGAGGGCACAAGGGAGTTTGCCAAGAATAAGAGGGAGCTTGGAAGATGTCATCAAAGACAAGAGGGAAAGCTTGGGAGAGGTTGAGGCAAGAGGAGGGCACAAGGGAGGTTGGCAACAATAAAAGGGAGCTTGGAAGATGTCATCAAAAAGACAAGAGGGACTTGAGTGAGGTCACTTGCAACAAAGATGACAATAGGTGAGTACGGCAACCGAAATGGTTG